CACGCAAGAATGGCACAATTACACAGAAGAAAAACACTTGGAGCCCTGAAGATGATCTCAATAAAGATCGAAACGTTGGCACGATAAAGAAAATGTTTTTCTGAAACCTACATCTCACCAGACCGCATCTCACGATTTCTAAATAAATATCGATTAACGGTCACTAATCACCACACATTATAACTACTACTTAACCCACACGAGTTGAGGACCATTCCAAGGGATAGCACTTATTATGATGGTACACGAAATGGACCGGTGGTGCAAGGGAGTTGGGGGTGGGTGACCTCCACCCAAGAATGAAAAAACCGTGTGACTGTGATCAGACTGGTCCAGGTATGATTTTGTATAATTTAGTATGTTTTTACTATTCCCCAACAGGTTTTTTATCTTAGAAGTAAACGCAATTGTCTAAATTCACTAATTTCGTGGTCCGCTTGACCAATTAAATCATTATAATTAATTAAGGTTCTTAGTTGAGATGAAAAAAAGTCAATGGCACGAGCGGAAAAGGAGGGAAACTCATAAGGTGAGGTTGAGATAGGAAGTTGATGTCCGAGTGGATCGAGGTCACGATAGCTCAAGTGGTAGAGCAGCGGCGTATCTAGATTTTTTATCTCAACTAAAAACCTTAATTACTTATAATATATTAATTGGTCAAGTGGACCACGAAATTAGTGAATTTAATGTATTGGTTAAGAAAAAAAAGCCAGTGCACGAGCGGGATTCGAACCCACGACCTTCGGCTGGCAAAAAGGAGGGAAAATTCGAAAGGTGGGTTAAGATGGGAAGTTGATGTCGGAGTGGGTCGAAGTCACGATAGATCAAGTGGTAGAGCAGCGGCGTATTTAGCCGAAGGTCGTGGGTTCTAATCCCGCTCGTGACACTGACTTTTTTATCTCAACCAATACCTTACATAAAGATTTACTACATATAATGATGACTACACGCAATAAACTCGATTTTCCTGTACTTGTAGATATTTCTGATTTGGTGCAAATATAATTATATTTACTTCATTATTACATATATTTGCAATTAATATTTATGCTTTTAAATTAGTAATATTAGTCGAATTCTGCAAAAAATTGGTAGAAAATTTCCCCAGTTAGATTACTCAGTGTAAATGTTTTCCGTCGTTGGATCTCTTACAATTCAACTCGTTTTGATAGGTATAAAACGTCTCTTTGATGTCTCCCTAGTAGAAAAGCAGGCCTACACGAACGTCAATCGACATTGTTTTGATATATTCGTCCCTTTGATATGTCCGTAGTTCGTTTCCATTCATTACATAGAAACCCCGAATCATCCCATTGAGAATGAAGTCTTCAACAACGTCTGCAGAGTTTCAATTTTCTCTGTATTGTTTTATGTTTTTATTAAACGACCTTTCCTAAGCGTATGAAGACGTGGATGTATTTTATAAGGCGTGATATACTTCCTGAAGGATTTAGCCCTATTTTATCAACGCAGCATTTAAGATTTTTAGAGATGGTTACAGAAACAGAATTATGTGTTATCTTTAGTGACATAATTTTAAAGAATTTCTTGTATCGTATTCATAACCGTTTAGTAGTTTTTCTGTTATTAAGTTTTCTTAACCAACGCAAGTAGACTTGCAGACCTACATTTGGAAATGTTTTAACATAAATAAGCATTAGCCTTCTGTCTCCGAAGTGTCATTTTTCAGGCTAGGGCGAAGCTTGGCTCTGCGTAAAGGATTTATCACTCTTATTCCTCAATTTAATAAAAGAGGGAAACATTTATTCTCCTATAAAGTTAATAGGAAGAGATGGTCCGACTGAAATTGGAGAGTGCGCTGGGCGCTTTTCAAATGAAAATTCCGTAATCGCGTCCCCCTTTAGATAAGCGTAATGTACCATTCGTCTAGAAACTTTATTTGCATTCGCCCTCCTATCCGAACCTGGAACGAAAAATATATAAAACGTATTAAATGAAATTCGACCCTATTATATTTTTTTCTACTATATTATTACTAAACGCTGAGAGATTATTTTGATTTAGATAGGATTTTAAAGATGAGCTCAATCAAAACGTCATAAAAATAAAGGGATAACTTCAAACGATATTAATTGAAAAATTAAAATAAATTATATCTAGGGTATTTTCAGTCAAATAAAATCTAAAATATTGATTGCATTATTTGACAATGTCAGTCGATATTTATTTACGAAATATAGAAAATTATTTTAGAAAATTAGAAAAAATTTTGCTTTACTTTATTTTAATTTAGTATCTAAAACTAATAGAGCATTGAACCGTAGTTGGCTTCATTTTGGAAAGTCATTTCTGCACATAAAGTTAAAGTCAAATTTGAAGTACTTTCGATCACTAAATTGAGCTTGAGGACTATTCCGTGAATTTGTGGCGGGCGGAGGAATCTTGACCGTTTAAATGAACTCACTTAGAGGCAAATATGACAGGATTAGTAAATGAATTGTGGTATGTAATTTATTAGCGTGAATGAAGTGATTCATCCGCAATTATCCCGAAGAACATCGAGTAGTGTGAATGAATGAGGGGATGAAATTTATTAGCTGAATAAAGGGAATCATCCCCGATCAACCCAATATCGACTACCATAGTGTAGTGTAAACGCAGTCTCGTGTATGAATGTATTTATTAGCGCGAATGGAGAAGCATATCCCCAATTATCCCAAGGAATATCTAGTAATATAAGGTAGAGTAAACGCAGTCTCGTGTATGAATGTATTTATTAGCGCGAATGGAGGAGCTGATACCCAATTATCTCAAGGAATATCGAGTACCATAGTGTAGTGTAAGCGCAGTCTCGTGTATGGATGCATTTATTAGCGCGAATGGAGGATGTTTTCTTCATTACCCCGAGAAATATTGAGTAATATAGGGTAGCGTAAATGCAGTCTCGGGTATGAATGTATTTATTAGCGCGAATGGAGGAGCTGATCCCCAATTATCTCAAGGAATATCGAGTACCATAGTGTAGTGTAAGCGCAGTCTCGTTTATGAATGTATTTATTAGCGCGAATGGAGGAGTTTATCCACATTACCCCGAGAAATATCGAGTACTGTATAGTAGTGTAAATGCAGTCTCGTGTATGAATGTATATATTAGCGCGAATGGAGGAACTTATCCCCAATTATCCCAAGGAGTATCTAGTACTGTAAGGTAGTGTAAACGCAGTCTGGTGTATGAATGTATTTATTAACGCGAATGGAGGAGTTTATCCCCAATTATCTCAAGGAATATCGAGTATTATAAGGTAGTGTAAACGCAGTCTCGTGAATGAATGTATTTATTAGCGCGAATGGAGGAGCTTATCCACATTACCCAGAGGAATACGGAGTACTATGGTGTAGTGTAAACGCAGTCTCGTGTATGAATGTATTTATTAGCGCGAATGGAGGAGCTTGTCTTCATTACCCCGAGGAATATCGAGTACTATACGGTAGTGTAAACGCCGTCTCGTGTATGAATGTATTTATTAGCGCGAATGGAGGAACATCCACAATTACTTCGAAGAATATCAAGTACTCTGAAATAGAGTGAATACTAACCAGACTATTATGATTCATCTTATTTTGTATATGTATTTGTTAGATTTGTTAGTTTATCCACAATTGGCGAGGCCCTGAGGTACTGTAAGGCTATTAATAACATAAAAAAAGAGAGAGTTAGTTACCGTTAAATCACTATAACATCATAACTTGGTTGTAGAAATATGAAATAAAATTATAAGGATCAAACGGCGAGAAAAACCGGAATAGAATTTAGATTTGCGGTGTAGCTTATGGGAAATACAAGCAGTTTGTTGGTCATAAAAAAATTGGCAGGCACTTGTCGAAACATGGAATATAGCTCAAAAGTGGTGCCAGAATATCGTAAATGCAAATTGCCTACAAGGCCATAGTCATCTCCAGAAAAAAGAAGCTAAATATTACTTATTTCAATTAATTATTCTTTTTATGTAAAGTATTGGTTGAGATGAAAAAGTTAGTGTCAAGAGGGGAACACACGACCTTCGGCTCAATACGCCGCTGCTCTAACCACTTGAGCTATCGTGACTTCGATCCACACCAACTCCCCACCTTGTATGGGTTCGAATCCCGCTCGTGACGCTAACTTTTTCATCTCAACCAAGACCTTACATAAAAAGAACAATTAATTGAAATAAGAAATTCAGTCAATTAGGCCACTAAACATAAATGGATTAATACTAAAAATTACAGCTTAGAAGCGAAATGAAGAAATAGAGCACTGCAAATAAATCACCAACCAAGACCAAACGTCAAAGTGGAAAGCACAATGACGAGGGGTTAAACATCTTTACAATATTTTCTCCCTGTTATTCATAATTAAAAATCTCAGGCTGTGCCAGGATTCGAATTCAGGAAACCACTTGCGTGACAAATAGGAGGTCGGATGCCCTAACCACTATGCCACCGCGGTCCACTATCACAGTGTTGTTAAATAGTTTCCAAGTGTTCTAGTTACCTTCTTCTTATCATGTTACATCTTATTTAACGTTAAATATGAAAATCCTGTTATTTGAATATTAATTTAACGTTTTAAAAGAGTAAATGGTTGCATGTTAAGTTATACGAAGTGAAGAATATGTAGTTTGATCGGAGTTCGAATGATATAATGATAAATAATAATATATAATATTACACTAGATGTTTTTATTCATCAGTCTTTTGAAGAATAGTAATGTAAAAGGGTATGTAGGGTTGTACATCACCAGTTATAATAGTACCACCAAAAAATTTATCCTATTAGCTGCCAACCGGAAATAATCAATTTCCTCCGCCGTCTATTTCACGGTCTACCGAACACCTTCTTCCGGGAGAATCATGTAAAATTCAAAACAGTAAACGCCCTCCTAAAACAAGAGTTTCAATTTGTAGACGTCTTGATGATTTTTACAAACAATTCAATGACCTCATACCAATCACAGATGAAAAATGACTAATAAAAAAATATTTAATTTTGTCCATAGCTGTCCGGTGTCCGGCGCCGAGAGTTCCAGACAAAGGGAGACTTGTCGAAGATGAAAACGGTGGTGAATACGTTGTGGGATCTGTTGTGCAGTTCTCATGCGAATCGAGACACTCGCTCGTCGGAGAAGGCAGCATCGTATGCACGGATGCAGGCGTTTGGTCTCATCCCGCTCCAATCTGTAAGTCTTCCAAATCACTCAATAAAGTTTTAACTCGGATTTTTTATGCAGTTTGTTTTTAAGTCGTGGTAGCTCTTACCCGAACAAGAACCGTTATTTTGCCTGGTCTTCATTTGCAGTACTCCTGTCAATACTATAGGGATGTATGTTTAATGATTCCGTTTTAACCCTTTGTGGCTCAATGTTGTCTTAGAGCAAGACAAATATTAGCAATTTGGTTAAAAAGTTAGCAAGCAATCCCGTATGTTTAGAGATAGTAAGTTTATATTGGTGCCAAATAAACCAGTGTTGCCAATACATACGCAGAAACAGAGAACGATGCTGCGCTTACCCTCAGGGGATTTCTTGCTAACCTTAAATAAAATCGCTAAAATCGGCATTGCTTTGAAGAAAATTTGAGCAAGAAATGGTTAAATTATAAACTGGAACGAAAAATTGTATACTAAATTTTATCAGCTTCTATTAAATATATAAATATTCAATTAATTATACACAATTTTTTTTCTTTTTTCGAAATGAAAAATTTATGTCACAGGCGGGATTCGAACCCACGACTTTCGGCTTTTTTTTCATTTCGAAAAAAAATTGTGTATAATTAATTGAGAAAAATTTTATGTTTGACAAATATAATAATCCTTACAAGATGCATTGATGGGATGAAGGGCCATGTTGGTGATAAAAGATTCCAAGATGGAGATTTTTAGATTGGCGCAAAAAAAAATCAGTGTTGCCAATACACCGGATGAAACATTGAAGGAAAACACTGCATCCGCCCTAAACTCATGGGATTAGCTAAGCTTTAGAAAATTTGGTAAATTTGGTGTTGCCCTGAGTTTGAATGTTTGGTACGAAAGGGTTGTTTGTTCAAAACAGCCATCAGTTCCTTTCAATTCCTCAGACACCCGTCTCTTCATATCCCTCAATTTCTGCGTGACCTGTGACCCAGGTTTTTTCATGCAGTTTTGATTTAATTCGTTCAAATGCTTTGATGTCTTTTTGATCCTTTCTTCCTTAACATAATTTTCTCCCATTCATTTACTATAACTCCGGCAAATTTTTTTAAACTTTAATATCAAAGTTCAAGATGACTCCCAATAGGAATGCGAATCCGATGGAGGTGCACAAAAATGCAAATGTCCTTTTTTTAAGCATAACCTTAACCTAATTTTTTTTTCAAAATCCTGTCTTAACAGTTTTAGCAAATTAATTCTAGTGGCTGTGATTACACAGTACGTTAGACATCTTATTCCTTGAGGTTTCAGGGTAAACTCTAAAGAAGAGGCGAAAGTTCCATGAAGGAGCCAATAAAATGGTGCTTGTCCCTATTCTGGCTTGAACATTTCCAACATACATCGGAATGATTTGTGAGTTACTTGTCTTTCTCTGTGGAGGATTTTATTGTTTCATATGATCCATAGAACCCTCGTTGAACGTACTGATAGTTGTAACAAAGGCAATACGTTTCCTTGCCGATTTATTTTAGCTAAACTTCAGATATCGAATCATTTTATACTAGCGATCAAAACTGAAATCGACATTTTACAAATGTAAAATGACAATGTTCTAGCAGAACCTTGACAAAGCAGCAGTATTGTCACATAATTAGTATTGAGTAGGGGAGAGGATAAATAATTACTAAACATAGTAAATTCTGATATATAAAAAAATAACCTTGATGAAGGTATTTTCAAAAAATAAATATTGATAATATTAATAAAGATATTTTATGAGAATGATCAACTTCAGTGTGCTGAAAAATGACTGTGAGTCCTGTAGCACTGAGATAGAATAATAGTAAAACATGGGTGTGTTTTAAACCCATTTTCCTTCTCGCATACAACTGCCAAGAAATCGTCCCAGAATGTGTCAAATCTTTAAATATTATGTAATGTTATGTAATTTAAATGTGTTATTTTTCACCAACTTTGTCACCAGTTTTTATTTTCATAAGAAAGCTTTCGGGCCAACACTCGGCTCGGCCACATTCTATTGTCATCTATATTAAAATTATCATATTACAGAACTTAACAAAAACATTAAATACATATTGTATAAACAGAGATTTGTTAAATTTTGTGATATAATAATTTCAATATAGAGGACAAAAACTGAGGAAGCGTCGAGTGTTGGTCCCAAACCTTTAGGAAGATTTCACGAAAAGGAAAGGAGGATTTATCAAAAAATACCCATATCTTCTTACTGGGGTTATTAGGTTATAAAAGTGATTTGGTGTTGAGGAATTAAGTCTGGTAGTTTTTTCTTTTTTCAGTCAGTTGTGCTGTTTTGGTGCGAGCTGTTTTTGATTTATGTATTTATAAACCTTTTTCGATATTAATGTTCTGTTATATATTTCTAAGTTTGCAGTATGTCAATTTATCATACTTCGTACTTCCTCGTACTTTGTGGCGTGATTGGTCTCTACTGATTGGTGGTAGGGTTGACACGTTCCTGACTCACTTTTTTCACATTTTGTTATCGTGGTAATTAAATGGGCAGTGCCCAGTTAAAATACTCTTTTCTCTTTGGTCCGAAACCTTACTTCAGGAAGATTTCATGAAAAGGAAAGGAGGATTTATCAAAAAACACCCATATCTTCATGCTGGGGTTATTAGGTTATAAAAGTGATTTGGTGTTGAGGAATTAAGTCTAGTAGTTTTTTATTGTTTCAGTCAGTTCTAGTGCTATTTTGGTGGGAGCTGTTTTTGATTTATGTATTTATAAACCTTTTTCGATATTAATGGCTGCTATATATTTCTAAGTTTGCAGTATGTCCATTTATCATACTTCGTACTTCCTCGTACTTTGTGGAGTGATTGGTCTCTACTGATTCGTGGTAGGGTTGACACGTTCCTGACTCACTTTTTTTTCCATTTTGTTATCGTGGTAATTAAGTGCGAAGTGCCCAGTTAAAATACTGCTTTTCTAATCTGAAAGAGTGGTAGATTTTTGTTTTCTTTGTGGAGACATTAAAAAAAATATTTGGTTGTTTTGAACTTACTTATTCACAAAAGCGTAGACATCATCATCTAATCTGAACACACAGTTTCTATTTTAAGCAATTTCGTAAAGGATCGAACCTTAAATCTGTCACACCCTAGGCCTTTAGCCCTAGTCATTAATATCGCCTTCACGAAGAGACTGTAAATTTTTGAGCTAACGGATCGCAGTCACGTAAGATACGGTCGCATGTCTCTGCTGATTAAGGGTAATAATGGTAGCTTCAGTCTCAGTTTTTCCATTTTTTTAAAATAGTAACTAAATGGGCAGGTATTATTTATATTTTCCTCCACCCGTGCCTACTAAGAGGGGTATTGTTGTCCTGGTTGGGATGATTTGTTTTTGGATTTTTTTACACCTGGCGAATTCATCAAGTGCGTTCTCTTCCTCCATCCATTTGCTGCCGCTTTTGCTAGTTTTCTGTTCGTTCCCTGATGCCCCTCGTGACCCGGCGCCCACATCGGATTTATTTAGTTGCGTGTGTTTTCCCAGTATTTCGAGATATTTTAAGCATTCCCACACCGGCTTTTAGTTGAAGGTGGAGAGTTGTAATGCCTTAAGCGCTGCTTGGATGTCTGAAATTAGTTTATGCACCTTTAAGGTCATTTTGAAGTATTTCTTCATTACAGAGTTCTACTACCTGATTTCAGGTTGGATAATTGAAGGTGTGGGACCAGGAAGTTTTGCTAGGTCAAATTTTTGGTTATTTTTAACCTCACTTAACCCCTGTTCTATTTTAAATCGATCTGTGTACTGCAGTAATGCCTCTCTACCAATTTCGTTGCTTTCAAACCATCACCGGCTTACGTTTTCCTAGAAATTGGAAATATATTTTTACGGTGGCTTTTTCTTAGGTCAGGATTTCTGTACAGGCCCAAAATATAAGCCATCGAACTCATTATGTCTTATAATAAAAATTAGGGTGCTGTTTCATTTTATCCTAAGTTGCGTGTCTTTAATTCTTATTTAAAAATATTTAGTTATCAAAAAATGTTGAATAAGCTCGAAATGTTAAGCCATCGAACTCATTATGTCCTATAATAAAAATTAGGGTGGTTTCATTTTATCCGAAGTTGCGTGTCTTTAATTCTTATTTAAAAATATTTGGTTATCAAAACATGTTGAATAAGCTCAAAATGTTCAAAAAACTTATATTTCAGAAATGAAAAATTTGAAGGCTTTTTAATTTCCAATTCCTGTTTAATGGGATTCTGTGATACTAAACCCGCACGACTTGTGTGTCTGGCAGAATTATTGGTCTAGCGCGCCGTTACAGGTAACGTTACTCTAATTGATCAATCACATGTAATAAATTAACTGTTTATATTACAAACGATCATGATGATGATGATGATGATGATGAAAAATTATATAAGTTACGGTTAGGCATATAAGTTGGTTAAGGAATTAATAGTAAGATATGGCACGGATAATGGACATACTGTGTGACCGTTGTTTTGGATGATTTCCTTTAGTTTCTCTGGTTCCATTCTATCCGTACTGAAACATATTAACTAACATAACTATATTAAATCTACCAAATATACAATCCATCTAACCCTGAAATCATAACACGCTTCAATAACGTATGCAAAAAGTTCATTTATTTCTATACTTTGATTTGTTTTGCTTGTCTCTTATTCGGCTTTTGTTCGCAGCTGCGAGCTATTTTTACCTTTAAACATCAATAATGTTATCACTTTATTGAAACGAACACGCGTGTTTTTAGACACGAATCGTCGAAAAAGTACACCTCAGTCTTTCAAGTTCAAATACTTGCAATCAACTCTTGCGCCTTAGAAAATCTTAGGAGGATAAACCGACAAAAATATCCTCATAAGATCGGACAGCCAAGCAGCATTAAATCATTAGCATGTAAGAAAATCATACACTCCCTGAACCTATTCTTGGGGTAACAATATCAAACCTAGAATCCTTCATCTTAGAATGGATTAAAAAAAGACAAAAGGATTAGCGGATTAATTCTAGAGTTGCTAAATACCGTAAGCTAATGTGAAAACAAACCTCACCAAGACTGGCAAACTTCCTGCTACAGTTATAGAATTTGAGAGAGGATCATATCCACAGGAGTGATAGGCCTATTTAACGATCACTGCCATTAGAGAAAACATTTACAAAAACTGGGCCAATTCGACGTTGTTCGCATTTTTGGGTGGTGCATTGATGAGGATGAAACACATGTCTTCGAATGTGTGCTCAATGAAGGCATAACCTGGGATACAAAGGAAACCAGAGAAAGGAAGTAGAATTCCTTAGGAGAAGGAACTCAATTGCACTGAACTAAGGAACTAGGCAAGTAGAATAAGTCAGAAGACTGCAGTTCTTGGGGAACAAAAAACCCTAACTTCCTAGTATCCATCATCATCATAATCATCAAAAATATCTTCGTTAGTAACAGCTTGCTAAGTAGTGAGCATGTTCCGTGAACAGACATCAATACCTCACGAGGTTGTCTAATGTCATAATCTTCATCATAAGAGCAGCTCTAATTTCGGAGTTTTAAAGGGTCTATCCAAATTTTATTTTATTTTCATTTTGACAACGTTTTGACCATTTCGTTTATCCACTTTAGGATTTTATGTTGACTTTTTCTTAGGCCAAGCTTAATTTCAATTTTGTCCCAAGCAAGTTTATGCAGTGATAATTATGTTAATACCCGGCTATGTTTTTATTGATTTCTGCTGTCGTATGTCTACATGATTAATGTTACCTTGTCATGTATTCCCTTGAAACTTCTGTAAAATTACTTCTGCGAGTATGGCTGAAGCAGGGGTGGTCTTTCTAGACAGCCTGGCGGTGGATAACTGTATATATTAGTCCATTAAGTGGATAAAGTTAAATTAGTTTTGTTGTGGTGTCGTTTCTACATTGTTTGAAAGTTATTGAGCGTAGTTGTCAAAAGTAGTTTTTATATTGTGCAGCATTGAAATAAAGCACAATAAAACTTATTATAGATTGTTTTAAATTGCAAGATTTGACTATAAAAGAAGTTTTAATCCAGGCATATTTTGCCTTTTAGTGTATTTCTCTTGTGGAATGGGCACTAGGTCCACTGTTATTGGGCGATCCACACTTACATTTATTTATACACCTATATTTCTCTATTTATGCAGTTTTCTACATCTGTTATGTTTTGTTCTTTCAGGTAGAGCGCATTGTGACTACCCGGGAGAGCCGGCGAACGGGAGGATAATCCCTTTGAAATTTACCTACGAGCCGGGAGACAGATTGAAAGTGACCTGCCACGCGGGATTCGTAACGAGGCTCGAGGCGAAACCTGTCTGCAAATCGGATGGGACCTGGAGCCAACCGATCCCAGAGTGCAGAAACTACAGGGACGTTTAATCCTAAAGCCAAACCATGTCCAATAAGTGGAGATTTAAAAAAAAACCTTTATAAAGTGTAAAATATGGAGAGAAATTGTAATAAAATAATATATATTTTGAAACTAGTTTACAAAGTATGTGTGTAAAAAATGGATACAAAATGTATTTATTCCGTTTAGTGTTGACAATTCAATTCCAATTACACAGAAGACATTTTATTTAATATGTAAGAGCGATCAAGAGTTTTTGTTTTGTCTTAAGTTGAAATTAGAATCTATAATCCTATAAAATAATACAATCAATAATGCTAGTAGAAATTCCGTTTACATCAAAAATAAATACGGCATTACAAATTCATTAAAACAATATTGCACTTGATTATTTTTAGTATCAACCATCTAAATAATTTTTTAAGACGAATCCAAAGAAGTCAATTCAAAATACAGTTAAGTCCCACTAATCCGAACACGCGGATATAAAATGTTTTGATCTGATTTTTTTATTTAACAGATTTAAAAGGATAGTTAAATTACTGTAGTTTTGCTACATTTACTGCCGATTCCTCGTATTTAATCCTGGCTATCATCGTTGTTCTGGTCTGTCTTCAATGGTGGTCTTTAAGTACAATTGTTAAAAACCAAGAAGGAGAAGCTAAAACGCATGCGCCAGACCAAAACGGCAAGTATAGATGCAAAATGATCAGAAAGTACTGAACTACCCTATCAATCAAGTCCTGTTCTTTTAAAACTTCCAGCGTTTTTGGGTTTAAGCAAGAATATCAACCTTTTCTCCACTACGGCCTATTTATAGTATGGATGGATACTTTACCGGATGACCATAACGTAGAAAGTGTGTTTTCCCCACAGAACTAAGCACTTTCCTCGGTTCCTCTTTATCTGTGCACCTATTTTGGTGTGTGATTGCCTTAGCTAAGTTAACTATAGGTGCCAGTTACTTACATTCACAAAAAGTATATGCCGATGTCTCTGGTTTCAAAGATGGTAGTTAATAGCGCAGTAGCTTATAATTTTCATCAAATCTTGCTTACTGAGGGAATTACTTTGCCTTCATTTTGAGAAAATGCATTTCCTATCTTTCCTTATACCTGGCGCTTTTGTCCAATGCTTGATTTTTTTCCCCAGGCCATTTTAACAGCTGCAACTTTAGCACACTCTCTGGTGCGGGGGTTCTGAGTGAGAGTGTCCAGTGTGAGAGAACTCACCTCAAGGTAACTTTGCTATGCTTTCTTAGGACAATTGGGCAACATAGACATTCTCAGACTAGTTTTAATCTAAAAGCATACGCGTTTAGTGTCTAGCCCGAAAAAATGTAAATCCTTGTACATTTGATTTTGTTCTTTACCAACTCCTCTGCACAGAGTCGGATTGCATGGACCCCAACTTGCAAGATAGTTGGAAACAGACCAGGAATTTTGCTCGTTTTCTAGGATGTGATTCGACCCTTTTATCACTACACCTACTCCCTGTTTTATCTTTCATCCTGAAACTTGAGGTTGCCTTTCAACCAAATACACGACCTCTTGGAAAGGTCGATCAAAGTTAAGTTTTTTCCCATTTTTCCAGGTACTACTTGTAAACACCATTTCATTTATATTAAGTATCTCAGAGTTTCATTATGACTCCTCCAATTTGGTTTTATTTATTTTTATCTCAGGAGCCTGTTGGCACGTTCGAAAGCCAACTTTTGCACACGAACTTGAAAGGGTTGTAAATCGAGTGATGATTGCTGTTGTAGAGTATGCATCACTCCAGTTTAGGTAAGAATCACTAATTCTTGAACTCAGTTTGTTTTTGGTCATCAAGATAAAGCTCTATATGTGACCAGGATCGTTGGATGTATAACCTATATGCAATCTTTGTCTATTCCCAGTGCTTCACAATCTGTGGCCAGTATGTCTATACGACTTCTCCACTTGCGCCTATGGTCAATGGTTGTACCGAGGTTCATAGTTTCTTTAGAATAGGTTATAGCTTCTTCTTTTAAATTGGGAGTCTTTAAGTTTAGCTTCCTTCTCCTTACGAAGGTTATGAGGAGTATTTTACCCATTTTCTTAAACCACCTTTCTATAAAATATAGGGGATTTTGCATTGGATTCGACAGTGTGTATCAAATTAATAGTTTATGATGATTACCAGGTCAACTGCACATACCCTATGGTATGGTATAGCTCTGTGGTTAGATCATTAACTGCTAGCGTCCATAGAATTGGCGATAGTTATTGGGTTGTCCGGAAAATAATGCAGGATTTTGGTATTAAACAAAAAAAAAGAAACTAGTTACTTTAAAGCAATGTTCTTTAATCAAAATAATTTCCCATACNACATTATAAGGATGACTGAATTATTTCCAAGTAGCGGAATGCTACAGAGGTAAACAAACAATATCATTTGGAAGAGGATTAATAAGTGTTGACATTCACACAAATGAGTAATCCTGTAAACGTAAACAGAATATTTTATATAGATTTTTTTTAATGAAAACTTAAAATCCTGCATTATTTTCCGGACAACCCAATACTTCCATAGGTAGGTTCTATTTGTATTGAAGTTCAGCACTTATTATCCGACTTAACATTGCAAATTCATATTTTTCCACTTTTACTGATAGTATATCAACTAACTTGGATTGTTGATTTTCTTTTGTATTATTCGGCATGTCTGAACAGAGGTCGTTCCGATCAGTTCGGCCTAGCGGGACTCCTTACTGTACTATCCAAAAAAAGTGTCGAATCATAACTAAAATTGACAGTCTTAACAAATGACCAAGCTAGTAATAAAAACGAAAATTAATATTTACGATGAATGATATAGCTAGAAATTGAATTTATTTAACCTGTGTCATATCACGTCCCGTAATTAACCGTAGGGCCGTAATTTTAACGATCAATTCAATTGCGATGATTTAATTACAGCACAAATGCCACTAATAACTCATAAATTTCGTTTTGTTTTAGGTACAGTTATTAACTTCTAATTTGTCCTATTAGTTACTTGCTTTCAGGAATAACAAAAAAATAAATAAAAGTAGGACATACACTAGGATTTTTTTAAAATCAACTAGTAAACATTATTCCAAAGAATAATAAATACATTAATATGGCAATAGTCAATAGTAACTAAATATTTATTTTACAATGCACTATAATTAAATATCATTAAAAACGTTGTCGTTCTTTATGAAAAAATGTAGACATCTAAAGATTAAATTTCCCCTTTGTTTTTGTCAGAAAAATAATGAATTTGTTTTAAAAAGATTGCCTCCTACACCATTAAAAGATTAGGATTTTTATTTACCACTTACAAATTTAAAAACAAAAATTTTACTCCACCAGCGAATTTATTTTCCGCATGTCCATTCAAACAATTTATACATAACGATAAAATAGGAGGTTTGAGATTTTAATTTTTAATTTTAAAAATTATGGAATAAATAATAAGCTCGATAAGCTGTAGATTTTGCTTGTTGATCAGTTATAATTATGTATATTTGTTGTTCTTTCGTTCATTTGCAGAATGTGATAATCAAACAATCAAATCATATGTACAAACAGATCTTTTATGTCTTAAGACAAAAAATTTCGTTCAATTTGTCCTTGATAAAAAATACTAATATTTTTACATGTCCACGATGTATTTGTCTATTGCCTATATCTGCAAATTCTTGTAAATAAAATTATATTTATAATATAAAATATTAAGATAGCGTGGTGAGTAAGAACACCTTAGGAAAATATAATGTACTCTTCCTCTCCTTGAATCATCAAAAAATGATTACGATTTAAAAATAAAATTACTATGTAAAAATGTGTAAATAAAAAGATTTTGTAATGAAATTATTATTTTGTACAACTAAATGTGGGTTGTGAAAGTTATTATGTAGTGAATTAGCGATTTAAAATTCGTGTAAATAAATATTGAAAACTTTCAGATGAGTAAATGTTCTCTTTGTGCCTTATTTTTTCAATCCCCCAAAAAATATGTATTAACCATTTGCTTATGCATATTCCCCCCCAAAAAAAAAAAAATTTTTCCAAAGAAAACTTAAAAAACTGGAAAGAAAGAATCTTGAGAAAAAAGTCAGTCTGATTTCGCCAACAAGTCACCATCCTGGGCACGGCCTTGCTGGAAAGCATTCCTGGAGTCCTGTATATTGTCATCGAGAGGCGGTTAATGATGTGATATGTGCTAAGTAACTCCCAGAAAAAGATGTATAAATGAGTTGAACACTCTAGATAACACGAGAATTGGGAAAAGAGAAGAATTAAGTACACATCCTGGATCTGGCGTGAAACTTATTATAGAAAAGCCAGAGGAGAGTTAACCCTTTTTGAAAAACACCCTGGCGTAAGTACACATAAAGTACTTCAGTCCAAGTAATATAAGTTATACTGATACGAGGTAACTACTTAAGGCCACGAACCATAAATGTCTAGTTTCTCGCTCCGTTTAATTGAAGGATGTCATTCCTTGGCTCCGTATAGAGAGCGAGCAAGAAAGCTAATTGATATGAGAGTTGTGCTTGTATTACAGTGAGTATTTTGACCTGTTCCGATTTTTGGTGAAACAGTTTTTTTTATTCGCAGCTCACGTCTCATTGCATCAACAAGTACTTTCTTCACCTCTTTTTTGTGATTGCATGTATTTAAAAGCGTAAATGTGTAGTTGAGAAGGCCGATGGTGAAATATTGAGTACCTCATCAATCCTCAATTAGGTTACTAGGTTTAACTTCTTATGGATAAGACCCTGGTCAGCCAAAACAGCAGAGTAGGCGGTAAGTTCAATTCTGACCTTATGTGTATGTAGTACATACATGTGCAAAGTTGATCTTATATAAATATAAGCTGATGTCTGGAATCTACTTCGATGAAATTGATAATTTCGTCATGTTTTTAAATATTAATCTGTAAAATGGCATTACATTGTATCTCATTATATTCTAATGTACAATACGATTTGATCGTTTACTGAACCATTTCGCTCTCCCAGTTTTTCTAAATAATAATAAATCTTTATTAGGAGGTGTCTAATTTTTTTCGACCTAATAACACCTGACAACATTCGTGAATCACCGTGCATAATAGTATAAATAATAATTGTATAAAGGGGGGGCTTCGGTGGCCGCAACGGTTTAGGCGTTGACACGGCGCTCATCACTGTAAGGTAAAGGTCCAGGGTTCGAAACCAGCGGCCCTGCATTCGAACCTGACATTCTTACAAATGAGCTTTTTCAAAAACACCGGCACCCTGTGGGTTTATATGACCTCTCCTGTTGCGAACCCTCGAAAAAAATCTTTATTTGCAAGAATGTACATTACATATAAATTTACAACAAAAAATAATATTTTGGTACATACCTGCCTGCTTTCAAAAAGCAAAGCTTGTACTAGACAGCAGGAGTTTTCTTTAGATCCACAGGGAAATAAACAAAAGTATAATGAAAAACAAACAAATAAACAAACATTATACAGAATAAACGTGTAGCATCCCTAACCAGCCAAATTATATCTTGGCTTTAAAATAACTTAACTACAATTTAAAATTTTTGAAACTATAATTTTTTTGCCTTCTTTGTAGTTTTGAAAGTTTGAATAATGATCCTCTCTTTATAAATAANTTTTTTTAAACAAAGTATATGAATACTTTTGCTATACTTTTTTACACCTCTTCACATTGAGGTTAAGGTCAGAGCACTATTCAGCTGCTACAGATTAATTAATATGAATACTTTCATCTGAATTACATATTGCAAGTTTTGTACCTCCCATAATGAAGATATTCGAGATTAATGAAATTGGTCTAGTTTTTAAAAACATGAAGGCGTAAAAAGCTTCAAAAAACGTTACAGAAATGAATTTCAGCTCTATATTTTGTGAACTATGAGAAATACTTATTAAAAATTAATAGCTTCAAATCAATTACAACTTATTTAAAGCACCCATCTAAAATCAAGTCAGTTCCAATTCGATGAAATTGATCTGCTTCTTAATTTTTTAAAAATACCCTTAAACTACCCTCATGGGCACCTTTTTCACGCATTTATTTGGAAATCGGAAATAAACGTAGTGGTTAACCAGTATCGCCCGTCATTTGAACTACATATTAAGTGCTGTACCTGCCATAATGAAGATATTTGAGATTAAAGCCATTGAATTGTTTGTTTGTTTTTTAGAAAATTATGGCGTAGAAAGGTTCAACAAATACTAAAGAAATGTGTTTCAGCTCTACATATTTTCAAAAATATGAGAATACCAATTAAAACTTAATGTTTTCAAATCAATCACAGCTTATTTAAATAAAATAAAAAATACAAAAGGCGTATACTTTTTTTAAATTGAAAAACTAAACCTTATGCAAATTACATGAAGTAGAACGTTTGTATATTATTATATCAAAACAAACTCGATAAGCCGATAAACAAGAAATATTGACAATTCATTTTTCATTCAGTTATCTAAGGAATCCACGTAACACAGATAATTCTAAGTACAATTTTATTAGGCTATTTGACACTATACTCCGTACTACATTAAATAGTTTATTTATTGCACCTTTAAACCTTCTTTTAAAAAAAAATGTGTGGTGTTTAGCGACCGTTACTTGATGATTATTCGGAGATCGTGAGATGCGGTCTTGTGAGACGTAGGTTTTAGAAAAACATTTTCTTCATCGTGCCAACGTTTCGATCTTTACTGAGATCATCTTCAGGGCTCAAAGTGTTTGTTTTCCGTGTAGATGTGTCATTCTTGTCTGTCGTGTGAGTGCCCTTATTAAAAGAACAAAAATAAAGTAAATAATAACATATGTGTACAATAACAATTTGTTCATGCGTTAACATACCGCCCACCAAATTTGTGTTTACAAATTTTTAATTGACAAAAGTAGCACTAACTTTTTTAGAGGTCTCTCGTGTACCCTTCAAAAAGTTTTATTACACTAGCCAAACGAACCCTTCCATCCTCTCTAAAGACAATTGTCCTTATCTTTGCCCCAGCAGGCAAAGGACCTATAGTATATCCTTCAATAAAACTAAAGCTATATGTCTTTAAATTTGGTAATTATCGGCTAGTTTTACTCCTTAAATTTTGGCTATGATATTAGATTTATCTACAATTTGTCTACTCCCTTCTTCCTTTTTTTTGTGCTTTGAATGCTCAACAACTTAGAAATGGAATATACCTTCATAACATGAAAAATTGAATTTCTTTTGAATTGCAATTGATAAATTTGAATTTCTTATTTCTTTTT